AAAACTTAGTGATATATATATGTATCAATTCTAACATACAGCGCCCTATATATGAGAAGAATACCAGAAAAACTTAGTGATATATATATGTATCAATTCTAACATACAGCGCCCTATATATGAGAAGAAAATGCAAAAAAAAAAAACGTTTCTTTTTTCAACACGTTTGATGAGTTTTTGAGAGAGAAACTAGGGGATTGACTAACGTATAATTTTTCAGGATCAAATTCAAAACCCTAGGCAATAATAAAAAAGGAAAATTAGTCTCCAATTATTTTGCGGGGGTATATGGTGAGTATCCGGTTTAGAATGAATTGCAACCACTAATTCACCAGATAATTAATAGTTGTTGTCAAAAGTAGCAAATCACTTATTTTATTATCGTAAAGAGTATACAAATTCATACCATATAATTAATGGAGAATTTTTTACTTCATACGCACAAATGTAGCAAGCATATAAATACCCCCTCCCCCCCCCACCCGCACAACTATCCCTAAATCAAACCTAATATCATGTGAGTCATATTAGAACCTCCCAACCATCCGGATCACTTGCATTGGTAATATTTTCTGATCTCTACCTAGGAAAATATACTGACTAGAGATTGAAAAAGATCTCAAGTTGAAACAAATTCATTTCTCAAATAGGAAAAAAGGAAAAAAAATGAATCATTATTTCATAATAATTGAATAAATTATTGGATACAATCGAATAAAGAAGAGTAACAATAGAACTAGGTGTGAAACAAATATTATGATGTGGTGTTAATTTAGAGGAATAGACGTTTATTACAATAAGATAATAAAAACAAAAAGAACCTTACATAAATAAACTAATAATTAGCTTTAAATCAAAACATTGACTAATGAATTATTTATATGCCATGTTTCTAATTTTTCTCCTCTAAAGTGGAAAGAAAGTAAAAGAAGGATGAAACAAAGGCAGCCCCTTTACAAATGATGATAACTATGAAACTAACTATATTCTCTAGTGACCTAATCTACATGAAGAGCCAAAACGAGAAAGTATATCCCTTTGTGTCTAAGCAAAATACATAACCCTTCCTACTTTTCTTTAATTAAAAATATATATATATAAACAATCAATTATTCACTTTACCAAAACAAACCAAAATAAAAACAAAAACATAAAGTGAAAAAAAAGTTTGGTCTGCACACTTCTCTCTCAATGTCAATCTTCAACGGTTTTATATAAGCCTCTACATCTCTACCCAAATCCTTTCCATTCCATTGAGAACTCAAAACGCCCCAGAAGAAAATCCAAAAAAATCCAAAACGTGGAAACAAGAAACAATCGAGAACAAACTCATCATCAAAGCTCTCCGAGTCATGGCTGATGATTTTGATGCAGCAGGAATCAACTGGTGGGGCACTGCAAGAACAAGTGGAAACAGCACGACCACCACCACTAGCTTCGACTGCTTCGCCTGCGATCGCAGCTGAGCAGTCTGTGTCCGGCCCTCTGCTCGATTCATCGCTCCAAATTCCAGGTTTCAACGTTGACTGGAATCAATCCTTACTGTAAGTCCACCATAAAATTATATCTTAGCAATTTGAAGGTTTTCCGTATTTTAATTTTATGTTCTTGATTTTAATTATTTATATTTATAAAGTAATAGCACTGGAAGAGCTGAGCCTAGCTTTCATGCCTTGCTTCAAGAATCCGTAAGTTATCCGACGATCGACACAAGTCATAATCAACAATTCTTGCTCGACCACAACCAGCAGCAATCACAGCCAGGACTGTCGATGATGCTGCAAGGATTATTCGAGCCAGAAACAAAAGCCCAACAACAGCCCATTTTCGATCATCATCAACGTCCGCTGAGCTATCAAAATCCTCCTCTGATGACGATGAAGCATCATCAAAGCAGTGCAAGCAACTTGCAGTTCGCGAACAGCACTGCGTTCTGGAACGCGTCGGCTAGCGCTGTCGGATATAATCCATCCGTGATTCCAGTTTTTGAACAGAAGCCTGCTAAGGTACTTTGTTTAAACTCTAGGGTTCTTTCAAGAACTGAATTGGGTTTTTCTCCCCTAAAAGTTTTAATAAATATGGTGAACTTTCAGTTGAATTCGGACAGCGTACAGAAAAAGAGCGGATGCAGTGGAAGCAGCAGTGGCAGTGAGCCTGCATTGAAAAAGCCTCGAGTAGAAGCACCATCGCCATTGCCAACCTTTAAAGTAAGAATGGATTTCGTGTAGGTTTCAATTGATTGCAGCTTTGATCCTTTTTTTTTTCTTTCCTTTAAAATTGGTGGTGATAGCTTTTAGGGTTTTTATGGTTGTAGGTTAGAAAAGAGAAATTAGGGGACAGAATCACCGCACTCCAGCAACTGGTTTCGCCTTTTGGAAAGGTGATATACATTTTCCTTCTTCTTTTATCTTTTAGCTTCATTAGCTTCCTTGGTTAATTAACTTTGTTATTATATGCAGACTGATACAGCATCAGTTCTTCATGAGGCAATTGAGTACATTAAGTTCCTACATGAGCAAGTCAGTGTAAGTTTTTTGCTTAATTAACTGTCCTCTTAATTAAGATATATCAGTTACATTTTGGTTGAAAAATAAAAAATCAACCCATTTCTCAATTCTTGATATTTTGTATGATTTTAGCTCTTGAGCACTCCATACTTGAAGAATGGGCATCCCGTGCAACATCAACAGGTACTATATTATTGATTGATTAATTATCCATGTTTCTTTAACAAGAACAAAATAAACAATAGATCGAAGAAAACAAATTAAGCACAAACATGTTTAAATAGTCAAAATTTATTGGATTATGGAGTATTTAGCAGTATGTTCTCAGTCATTCACGAGTAGAGTAGAGGGGCAGTTCCAAATTTATGGTTCGGAACATCCCACTCGTACAAAGAGTGTTCTTATAAGATTTGTGTTTGATTTTGTATGCAGAGTTCAGAAAAATCCAAGGATGGCGAGGGACCAAGGCAGGACCTAAGAAGTAGAGGATTGTGCTTAGTTCCGATAGAAAGCACATATCCAGTGGCCAGTGAGACGACGGCGGATTTCTGGACTCCAACGTTTGGAGGGACTTACAGGTAGAGGAGAAAGGAGCTAGGGTTTTCATTTCATAATTGAGAGTGATAGATTATAGGAGTTAAAAAAAAAAAGCAGCCATGACTCCAAAAAAAAGAAAAAAAAGAAAAAAATTGCAAGAAAAAGAAAAGGAGAAAAAGGAGGGAAAAAAGAAAGGAGGAAGGGTGGCCCTTGAAAGACAAAGCTAGTCTGGGACAGCTTATAAAGAGGAATGATGAAGGGTTGGCAATTGAGTTTGAGAATAATTAGCACAATTTTATTGTAACAGGTTGCTAAATTTGGTAGAAAATAGGGAGTGGGGATAGTAAACCAAATAGTAGCTGAATTTAGCAATGAGGGGATTGTGGGGTTTGCTCATGTTTGATGTGTGTGTACAAGGGCTGTCAATACCTTTCTTTTTTCTTTCTTTTTTCTTTGGGAAAAAAATAATAATAACAAGGAATAATTGAGTTCAGGAGGAGCGGCAAGTGTGTGGTCTTTTTGTTTGGGGGAATCCTACTTTTTGAGTCTATTTATTTGTTTTAATGGTGGTAGTGGAAGTCAGAGGCTGACCCACTTGAAAACATACACCAACATTCTCTCTCAAATAAAAATATGAATTAATGATTTAGTTATTTAGGAATATAATTAGGGTGTGGGGAGATGGTTTTCATGCCTTTAGTAGGATCACCACGTTCCAACCGATTGATTGGAAGAAAAATACGAATTTTCTTGTTGGATAAGATTGAAGGACTTGTTAAAAATAGTCGAATATTAAGAAAAGACTAAATAACTTACCTATTAGATTGTTTGAATTTTTAGTGCAAGTATATAATTCATTTGGTTTGTATGGTTTGCATTACAGCTGTAACTGTAATTACAAGTGTCTACTTTGATTCTGTATGATGTTTTTCGAATACAGTTGCAAAAAGATAATCTTTTATAAAAATAACTTGTGGTCAAAATGATTGCAACTCGACTTTGTAATAAAAAATAAATGTAAAAGTGTAATTATAGCAGAAGAAATAATTACAATAAATAATAATTACTTTGTGTAAATTGTATTGTAAGAATGGTTTTAATCTTATGAGGAAGAAGTAGTGCTGTATTTATAATATCTCAGAATGATAGAAAGGACTTTAAATGAGTATCTCTACAATGTGTAATTAAGTATTACTCTAATAAATGCTACCAAAAAAATCTATTAACCTCTAATTAGTGTTCAGAGAAGCTAGGCATTCCCATATGCCAAAACATTCGGAGGTCACAAACCTTGAGGAATAAAACATTCAATCATCAGAGTGATTTTTTGGGAATTGTGACTAGCATTGACACATCCCTTCCCTTGTTCCAGCTTTTAGCATGAAATATGGGCAAAATAATTTTTAATATACACCTGAAACTTGTTAAAGACTTTATGTCTGGAATGTTGGCTTGTCTTTTATCTGCTGCCCTTGATTACACTTCTGTTTGAAAACTGAAGAAAGCTTGGATTTACTGAAAAATTTCAAGGTTTACATGCTTGTTTAGGTAAAATTCTCAAATGAGAATTGTGCAGAGATCTAAAAGGACAAGATAGAAAGAGAGATTGCTTTTTAGTGAAGGAGAGGGTTATTCCTGTTTTTATATGGATGCCATTGTTCTATTTGTCTTGCTTTGGAGATTCTCCTTGTGTTCTTGATGCCATATGCATGCTTTTGAGAAAATTTTGCTTTCTAAAAGTTACATGATAGTAGAAGAAGATTCAACTTTTTCTTTATATAAAATTTTGGGACATTGCACATGAAATCTTAGCGTTCAAACAATTAAAATACTGTTAATAAAGCATAAACGACGTTGTTCATGAGTGTCTAGAAGGGGAAAGGACATGCTTTTCTTAGATCGATCATATGTTCAATTGAAAATTTAATTTTGAAAATTATCAAGACAGGAACATTTTTGAAAGAGGTAAGAGTGTCTTATTCCCGTTAATGTATGTTAAATTTTTAGCCTTTACGTGATCCTGATTTTGATCGATTTGAATAAATTAAGAAGCTAAGGGCATCGCACGGATTGCATTTGAAACGTAAAAAAAAGAAGTAGAGATACTTGCGGACGAAAAAATTATCAGATATGCATAATCCATACCTCTAAAGATTAAAAAAGATATTAATCTAAATATATAAACTATAATATGTGCAATTTGATATCGAGAAGAAGTCGTAGTTTAAAAAAATAAAGAGTAGGGATGTAAACTGTCGTAGAAGAAACCTTTGGTAAACACTTCATCAGGATTTCATATTATTTACAAAACGATTTAGTCCTCATTGTATTTGTGGCCACAAAAAAATGAAGTTCATTTGAGAAAGTATTCAGAAGCACTCAAAACTCTTTCAGCATGCATCTTTCCTATTTCATTGTATAACTCATAATTGCAGAGTCTCATTCCTCAAACCTATTTGCTAAAGCTTAATTATCACTGTTATTATCAGATTTATTATAAATTATTAGCAAATTTACATGTTTACATATCATTTGAAAAAGAAAGTGGATTTAAGCTATCTGCTAAATGAGCTACTCAGAAATGATTCGCTAGTAAAGCTCATACTTCATATCTTGATAGCGCATGACAAAATAAGTCGAACATGACCAAAATGAGTAAGGATTCTATTAGAACACTCCACAAAAAGGGCGATCCATATTATTCAAGGATGGTTAAAAAGTTTAATTTTTAAAATTACAGCTCTTCTATTTATGATTTGGATCAGTCAACTCCTATAAGAGTGTGGTTCTGATGGGCTCCCTGTTGGAATAAAACCAAACCAAACACCTAGCTTTGGGCCAAATGTGTTTTAGACAAGAAAACGGAAAAGAGCCCATAATCAGCTTACTTGCAGCTTATGGCCAAAGCCCAAGTGCGGTCTGTCATGGGCCTAAACCATAGGAAAGATGACTTTGACATCACCTCCGAATTTTTCAACTCCTAAATATAATTGGATTTAGGAAATGTTTGACTTCAGGAATTCGTACCTTTTCCCCTTCTTTTATTATTTCAGGAAAGCATATTAGCTTGAATTCACGTCTGCAGCTGTAAATAGTGTAATTGATTTCCGAATCCACTACTTTGTAAGATTCATGTGTTGTTGTAAAAGTTGAGAATCTGAGGGCCTGTTTGGAACTCCTCAAAACTGGTTCTATTTTGATCAAAGGAAGGGGTGTATAAAAAATCAACCAGTTTAAGGTGCTTTTTTTTCCCTTGAAAAAAGAGTTACCTGTTGCCAAGTTTTACACAGACAAGTTTCTTTTCAAAATGGGACCTAGTTTAAATTAGATTTCATTTTGAGAGGTTGTCAAACAGGCCCTTAAGTTGATGTATGCTTTCTCTCAGGAAAAATAAGATGGAGGCAGCATCAATGTATGCAACAACAAAAATAAAAAAAATGAAAAAATAAAAACATAACATAAAATATTTGGTAGCATCTGCATTTTTTTTTTCTGTAAAACGGCATCTGCAGTTGTTTGTTGAAAGCAATCAAAATAAACACTGCTTTTTCCAATCTGTGCAACTAAGCAAGTTAGGTCCGGCCCAAACTTTGGGCCAGAAAAGACCAGGCTATACAACACGTTTAAAATATTTGGGTGAGGAACCCACGAGACTACAACAACAAATTGATAAAAAAGAAGTTCTATTGGGGGGTTAGTCAAGTCGAACTCAAAATTAGAACCGGAATAATTTGTGAGACAATATTTTATAGTGCTAGTTCATTGAAACTAGAACTAGGATAAAATTATACAGTGTTAGTCAACAAGAACAGGATAAAAAGTAGAACTGAGATAATTGTAAAAATTTATCCCACTTTTGTCCAATTTATATAGAAAAGAGAGAGTTCTTGTCTCTTAAATTGCCCCAAGTTTTAAGCTAGAACTACATGGTAAAAACTAGAACTTTATTATTTACTTTTTTATTTTTCATATTTCTCTGTCATCTTGAAACCACACCATAAAATTAGATCACGTCTCTTCTTATCCTTCCCTTCTATTTAATGTTATTTTTTTACTTTTTATTAAATATTTGAATTGTATAATTAATTTAAATTTAAAAATTATAAATTTTATGTTTTATTAAAAATTAATTAAAATTGAGAGATGATGGAATGATGTCTAGTAGATCAAAAAAGAAAGAGGAAAAAAATGAAAAACTATTTTTAATTTATATTACAATAATAATTCCAAAAAAATCAAAAATTAATCTTATAGTCTATCTAATAGTTCTTCAAAATTAAAATACACTAAAATAATAATAATAATAATAAGTTTTAAAATGTATAAACAGTAGTATGATCATCAAAATACATGACTTATATGTTTATTGATTTTTGAAAATTATCCTTAATTATACTAACAATTGTCCCACTAAAATATCATGTTTTAAAATATCACTCTCCATTATCCCATTAAAATATCCCACATTAAAAAATTATCCCATAATAAAATTATTCCACTTCTATCAAAAATGTTCACTAACATCGCCTTAAGGAATCTGGAAGGATAATTATATTGGTAACTAAAGACTAAAGCACTGAGGAAAAGAAAAGTTTTATCAGTTATATATTGACAAAGAATAAATTCAAGTCCCTCTGGTGAGACATTTACCTAATCTAAAAGCTAACATGACCCATCATCAGTACTTATCATCTATCATCTACCCTTTAAAAGAGGGAGTTCCCAAAAAACTTTTCCTACCCTAAATTACCCTTTAATTATTGTAAATATATCAAAGTTGTCCTCATCTTTCATTTCATTAACTAGGACCGTTACGAAATCGTGGCGTTTTGCTAGTTTCCGTTTTTCTTGGGCCAAAAGCTAAAACGAATTTGTTTCCACCTAGAACTAGCGACTCCCAAGAGAAAGAGCTCTACCTTTGCTCGGACTGCTGCCACCGCTTGCCATCTCCACCACGCCGAAGTTCTGATCGTGCTGGTTGCTGCTCCAGCCAGCCACCATCACCTTCAGATTAGCGCGAAAAAGTTCTCTTTTCTTCCTTCAATGTTGTGATCTTGCTCTTTCACTCGCTCATATTTTCTTTTTTGTTCCCTTCACATCCTTCTTCGTTTTACATAAATTTATTATAAAATTTGCCTTAACTTCTATGTTTTTGCTGTTGGAATTGATTTCTTCCCAAATATCTGTCAATTTTATTTTGCCCTAATTCTTACTTTCTCTCTATATTTGCCCTAAACTTGATGAATTTTTTATAGGATAGTTATTGTTAATTTAGATTATTTTCTCCCCTTTTCTCTAATTCTTCTCTATTTTTATATTTTTCTCTAATTTCTCTAAATTTTTTCTAATTTCTTGTATGGTGAAGGAAGCAAACTGTTCATACTTCATATTTAAAGTAATTAACATAACTTCAACTATAATTATATTTTTTGAATTTTTATCATCAGTATTACCTTTTCCCTTTTTTATTTCATCATCGGCATCAGCGGCAGCGGCCATTGGCG